AGTCTCCTACCTGAACAGAAACCTCTCAAATGATTCAAGGAAGCTGAAATCTAAATAAAAGAATGCTTATACATCTTTTAAATGTCTACTCTGTAATCTATTTGGACTCATGAAATGTATTCCTATGTTTTAGAAAGAGGTTCCCTCTAGCTCAGGGGTCTTTGGCAGCGTGGACCATGGCTTGTTCACCCTGATGACTGTATCTCTACCTCTGGGCTCTCCCTGGGTAACTGGATTGTTTTTTTCCCTTCCACTGTAAGCTGCACACAATGCTTGTTGGGCTGGTTACTCTGGCCACAGGCACCAGCTGCTTCATCTTTCCTCTTTGTGTTGCTGCAAGTAGAAACCCATAGGGCCCAATTACCGCAGTTGCCTCTTTTCTCTAATAGCAACATCAGTGCTGAGATGCTGGATTCTGACTACCAAGAATGGGACATATATTTATTTTATTTGCTTCTAAAATGAATCCTTTAAAATTGAGGGTGTGTTTGCTTTGGAAAAATATGCCAATGTTGTCTATTGCCATGAAAACAAATAAAAGGGAAACTAAGTTCTAAATGAGATTTTGCTTTTTATTAAATAATATAGCCCTGAATAATTTATCCTATGTTATTTTATTATACTACGTAACAGCATTTCCCCAACTTTGCAAATTTAAAGTTTGATTCTATTACACATCTCATCTGTGAAGATCATTATTCTACTAAGCGATGATTCAGAAGTGACAATAGAAAAGAATTCCCGAAGTACTACAATTATTAATGCCCACACAAAAGAGAGCTGAGTAAAGACCTGAATATGTTATTGTGTATACCAAAAGACTTTTGTTGATTGGAAAAACACACGCAGGTGGTCTGAAAGAGAAAATAGATCCTAGATTTTATTCCTACAAAGTGCTTTAAAACTAGTGTAATTGTCTTGAGTTATTAGATCATAACAAACAATTTAGCATTCTTATTTGTTTTTTTATGAATGTCTATATAACCATGTTTTTAAAAATCTAAGGCTCTAGAATCATCTTTTAAACTTTTAAAAATGGTCCTCCACAGCTAGCTCAGATCTTGACTTTATAACAGATATTTGCCAAATATTCTTCTGTGATTACAATACCAGAATTCTGTCTTAATCACAAAAAATTTTCTACATAAGTACAAGAGAGAATATTTAATGGATTAGGTGCTTATGATTTTGTTGTGCAAGTGTCAGGGAGATTAGCAATTACCAGAAAGTAATGGTCAAATTTACAAAAATAAATAATTCCTGCAAAACAAGCAATACATATATGCTTGGTTAATTTAAAGGTAACAAAAAATTGTTAAGCTATCAAAACGTGGTGAGTGATCAGTCAGTTCATAAACATTTCTCATATCAAAATCTCACAAAATCTCGTTTGTGAACTCAAATGAGAGATTTCATAAAATAAGAAATAGCAGAGCTGGGAATCATTATGTTGATCACCTCCTCAGCATAGTTGAAGGATTACTATTACTGTCAACACCAATAATTTTTTTGTAACACTTAATCTCCTATTGCTACACTATAGAACTCTTATGTCCAGGAACATTTGTAGAAATAGTTCCTGAACTGTGGTCCCAAGGGGCAATCACCCACACAGTAATTTGAGCACAGTTCTCAGTACTGTGAACTTAGTACTTAGTACTATGCCAGATACCATGGAGGATGGAGAAGGCAGCTAAATTCATGCATGTTTTCAAAGAGTTTATAATTTGGCAAGGAAGGAAAGTTTATGGATAGTCTAAACAGTACATGATACAAGATAGTACATAAATCGAGTTGGTGCATTAAGGTAGCAGTCATCCATTTATATAGATCAAGATTGGAACATGAAATGATTTTGAGTAAACTTACTAATCTTTGGCCTGTGCAAAATTGGGAAGTAGGTACAAATCACCTTTGATATTTGTCCATCTGTCCCATGAGCTTTCGTTCCATTGCTGGTGAAATAGAGATTCCCCAGTCCTGTGTAGTTTGGGGAAGCTGTTTGTTCTCTACTTTCCACACACTCTGCTAGAAGAAAATCCCTAATAGTGTGTTCCTCCCACTGCCTTTGTCTGGAACTTCAAATCCAAATGGAATCTGGAAGGAACAGTACCCTGGGCACTGACAATAATACCTTCACCCATCCTTCAACTCTCAATGGAGTGAGTAAATATAGGATCCAACCTATAAAAGTCTGCCTTCCCCGTGGTTCATGACTAATAAATGCTAACTGCTGTGATTCTCAGTAGAAATTCTATAAGGATTGTAGAAGGGGAAGATTAATGACTCTGAAGTGGTAGATCCACTGTTTTTCATGTCTTGCCAAATGGTATCATTATCCTAGTTGCATAAAGTAGAATCAAGGAATCATTCTTGATGTGTTCCTCTATCCCCCTGTCCTCCCAATCGAATCTGTCACCAAATCCTGCTAATCTTTTCTCAAAAATGTCTTTCGGGAGTCCACCTACTTCCCTCTCTCTGCCTCATCATCTATATAGCAGATGAACTTTTATGTTTATTTGTGAGTTTATTAGCTATTGTTGTATCTCTATCGTATGGCACATAGTAATCCCCTCTCTCTCTCTCTCTCTCTTCCTCCCTCTTTCTCTATCTTCCCCCCCACCCCATATATCTGCACCTGTCTGTTCAATGAATAAATGAATTAGAAGATGTACTAGACCTTAAATCTTAGTAAGATTTGGACAGAAATGAAAGAAAAATAATAATTATAGCAAAGAATAAACATAAGCCAAAGGATAAAGGAAATAATTAATATAGCTTACTCATAAGCCAACAAGATTGACTAGAGCTGAGAGTAGGTTTGGAGAAGTAAATGGCAAAAGCTTTCCATAGTAGAGAAGGGGTCAGATTACAGAGGCAACCGAGTTAATATTTGCTCTGGTAGGAAAGTGGAGATTTTAAAGCAAGATGGTGATAAAGTGGAAGCAAAATTCAAATGTGTGTTAGTTGAAGCAAAAAGCCAGTATTGATTCAGATGCGATATGATGAGGACCTAGATTTGGGAGGTAGCAGTAGAGATTACAGGGGAAAGTTCAAAAGAGATAGAAAAAATGTTTTAAAGAAAAAGAACATGGGCCATGGTAAGTGAACATGGAGTGTGGATATTATTCTCTTCATTCGCATATTTTAGTGAATCTCTCTATACCTATTTTTACTTGACAAAGGAAATTCTAGATGCATTTAATTTATAGTTATTTTTTAGCAATATCTATGTATTAGAGAAAATAAAATACAAAAAAAGTGCTTTAAGCCAGGTGACTCAACCTTAGCACTTTTGACATTTTGGATTGGATAATTCTTTGTGGTAGGGACTGTCCTGTGCATTGCGGGATGTTTAGTAATATCCCTGGCTTCTACCCACTAGATGTCAGTAGCACCTGCCTACCCAGTTGTGTCAATCAAAAATGTCTCTAGACATTGCTAAGTGTCCTCTGGGGAGAAGGAGAAAAATCTTCCCACTGGAAAATCACTGCTCTAAAAGTATACCATCGAGGATACAATATCATCATTATAAACATATTATCATATAACAAACGCGTTTTCGATCCAATTCAGAAAATGACATCTTTGTTAAGAAAAATACATCTTATGTTAAATGTAAACATTATTTTTAAAGGGATATTTAGAATAGAAGAAGTAAATCCTTAAATGCACTCACACTGAGTTCTAACACTATTCCAAGGCAATCAATCAGCGATGACATGAGCGTGGCCGCAGTAATGAGAACCACTGTCACGATTATGTGGAAAACTGATGATAGATTCCCACCAAAAAAGACACTTGCAATCACCTGCCAAATAAACAGGTTATTTAGAGAGAGATTCTCAGATGTGTGAAGGATTTATTAAGGTATTTATTTCATATGATAGCACTTGAGACTATGTAAAATACTACCAATAAGGCAATCAATCCAATTTCAAACTATATGAATGGTCTACCTTTTTCAAAGTACTTACAAGGGATATACACACATATCAATACAAAAATTCTTTGTTGAACAGGAAGCACATGGCATATTAATGTGTAAATAAATACATTTCTCAAATGTAGGAGAGACCTTGGAAAGTTACCTTATCCTTACTTGAGTCCAAAAGGTTACCACAAGGACAAACTACAGATGCTATTTAGATTATTTGAATGACCTCTAAGATAGGAGGTACCACAATTTTCTTGAATAATAATGGATGTGTAATATCATTTACTAACAGGAAATTAGTTTTATGTAATCTGAATCCTATTTGATACAAGTTAAGTCTATTTCATCTTGTCTTTCCTCAATAAAAATGGAGAAAAGTTGGTCACCATTTGCCACTGAGATTCAGATTAGAAAATCAACCAACAATTACCTATTTAATGTGTCCCACACTGTGATAAGATTTGCAAAGAGAAAATATCTAGAAGATGATTCTTGTTCTCTGAAATTAATATCCTATTTGGAGAGATCCAATCAATCTAATCAAACAAATGGTGATTATGACAGGATTAAAAAAGACAAATAGAATTTAGAAAGAGTTTTATTTGCCTAGATCAGTCTCCCTTATAGTAATTGGCTTTGCAGCGTTTCTGAAATGTGCTTGTCTTACCTACCTTGGCTTGAGGTAGGGCCTGAAACATGGATAGGATTTAGAGTAGAATTACAGACTGAGGCAACATTGTGAAAAAGAGCAAAGAGGTAAGAACAGGAAAGATACCTATGGAGGACAAGAAGGAGACAGTTTGAATGACTCTGAAAAAAAAAAAAAGCAACGAAACACAAAGCAAGAGTTGGAAATGGTAGGAGAGGGTCAGATGATTAGGGATGTGAAGCCAATGTTGCAAGCTGTGATAAGTAACATCCTCTTTAGATTGGATACTACTGTAACTCTGCTAATAATTTAATAATTAGGATACTAATAACTTTAACTGATTTATAGTTTTACAATTGGCAATGTCTTTCCGAATATTATCTTATTTAAAATTCATTCTTATAGATGACTCTAAGATAGGACTGTAATAGTGGAAAATCACTTCATGGGTCAGGCTAGTGAGAAATATTTATTGGGGAAGACAGGCCTTTGGGTACCCTTGCATGCGACTGCCTACTTGACCTATGAATAGAAATGGCTTAGATATGTTTATGCCAAATGTGTGTGTATGTATATGTGTGTGTGTGTGTGTGTGTGAATGTATATATGTGTGTGTGTATATATATGTGTATATATATATAAACATATATATACATAAACATATGTATATATGTGTGTGTGTATATATATATGTATACACACACACACACATATATACACACATATATTTATTTTTGTACGTGTGTGTACAAAGGAAAAAAGAGAAAGGAAGTAAATAAGTAAAGTATATACAAGATTCCTCTGCCTAGTATTTGTGACCATAGCAGAGATCTTTAGTTCTGTCTTCGTGTCATGGCAACTAGAAAGGAAACACAAGTCCCAAGTACTGAAAACATAAGCTGTGCAGGTGACTCAGACTGTCCACAAGCAGTTCACCAGAAACCACATAAGAATGCACCATCTGTCATTGCTGATCTAGAGATCAGATTCAAACCTAAAGTACCGGGCAGAAGCTAAAATAAAACCATTTCCTGCATCCAACAATAGTTAGCAAAAATTTTAAAGGTTCTTAGATTTAAAAAATCTTCATAAAGTAAAGTTCAATCTAGGTCTCCCTTATATTCAAGGTGAAGAACTGGCCTGTGAGTTACGCGTTTTTAAGTGAGGACAAGTGCTAATTGTAAAGGACATTCATGGTGCTGAACATTTCCTTATTCCATTTCCTTGTGCAGTTCTTTATCCCCAGAACTGGCATAAGGTGAGCACTGGTCAGCTTCTAGAAGCCTGTGTATTAGTTGGTTAGTGTATTTAAAGCTCTGTAGGCATTTCACTTCACACATTAGACCCATTCACATGGTGCCCTGTGTAAACAGCCCTTAGGAATAGATCCTAAGACTAATCCCTTTTCAGTGTGATTCCTAAAAGAACCACTGTGAAGCAGGATCATGTTTTTCTGCTAAGTGGTACAGTGGATTTTTAGCTGACTTGCATAAGGAACTCCTGAGGAGCCATGTTATCCAATCTTACACAAAAAAGTTTTCACCTAATCTTCCTCCACAAATCCAGGTGGACTATATAACATAACTTAACTTGGAGTTCACTTTATCTGTGAAATATACAGATATATATTGTTTTATATGGTATGTAAACACAAATTAGTAAACATATAAAAGAAATATATCTGTATAACTAATGGTTTAAATTTAATTTTGGTTTTCCAAGGAAATACGAGATAGTTTTTAATAAAACTGATCAGAACCTGTTCTATGGTGCCTTTAATACACGTTGACTTACAAAACATCTTAGAAGAAAATAATTTTCTAAAGCATGTTTTAAACCTTAGTAGTTAATTTCTTAGTAAGAATGCTTTTAAATAAAAACTTCGTTTAGCTCTATTAAAGACTGGCATTCATTTTGGAATGCAGTTGTAGAAATATTTATATTTATGCTAATATAGACTAAACCACCAAATATGATTTTCAAATCCAACTTTAGAAAAAATATCTTGTAAACATTGAATATATTATCTTTAAACTGGAAAGAAAATTTTATAAATTATATACCTCTCATGCACGTGGGAATTGGCAGAATTGAATTATTTACAAATCTCCCTAAATTAAATGTAGTAGAGAGAATATCTAAGTTGTGTTGAAAAGGAATTGTGCTTACCTCTCTAGTCACAAAGCATTCTATCGGGTATGTCAAAATAACAGTGACTCCATAACAAAACCTTCCAAATGTTACCAGGTCATCATTTCTGCAATAATTTTCAAATAAGTCTCCTAGAGAATGATATAAAGTAGATTTATTTAATAGATACTAGATTTTTTAATATAAATATCTAATAAATGAAATATTGGATATTTATTATGTAAATGAAACTAAATAAACTTCATTTAATTAACAGACTAGATTGCCAAGTCTAAATATGTTTTTAAATTTAATAACTATATAATTATTAACTGATATTAAAACTAGTGTGTGTTCTACTTGAAGATGGATTCATCACTAATAGTTTCTCTCTCTCTCTCTCTTTTTTTTTTTTTTTGCAGCAGAAAAGAAAAGCTTTAGTGAAAGTCTATTGCCATTCAGAGAGCTCGTTTTTTGCGAAGATTCCGTATTATTATTATGTAAGTAACGATAACACACCGTGATTACAGGGCGCCAGGAAGCTTCCTGACCTCGACATGGGAACTGGCTTGAGCAAAAGAAGTGTGGCTCAAAGACCTAATAGTTTTTCTCTTATTCTCATTGTTTGTTTTGGTATATTTGCTTTAATTTGTAACGACTTCTGAAAAGTACTTTTATCCATTGTTTTCTTACACCAGAATCAACTCCCTAAATTCTTGTACATTGGTTTTATAAACTTGCTTCTGGTCTTTGTTTCTGGTAAGTAAGTGACTTCATTATTAAATTTAAAAAATATAAAAAAAATTTTAAAATAAACAAATTTCCTTTTGAAATGCTATTCATAGATCAAGAACAATCCTGAAAGGAAGAGTGGACCATTGCATCTGGGGAGCTGAATTTCCTGTATATCACACTATAGGGTTTAGTTGCAATCTCGGGGCCACAGCAAGGTATTCCAAACATACATTATCTTCCATGATATCTAATGATCCCAAGTATAAATGGACTGATTCAAAACTAAAAATATTGAAGAGCATTATATTTCATTAGTTTTAAACTAAATGATGAACCGTATGTACCTTGAATCAATTCCTATTTAAAGATTGTGTTTTCTCAGACACCTATGAAGAAATACAGGAATCTAATGAGGGCACAGAAGTCATGTCAGTAAAAAAAGCTTCCCAATGCCCAAACAAAGAATATTTGGATCTGTTTATTTCCTAAGTATAATATGCCTACATTTAAAAAGTTTTGGTCACATTTCTCAGACTAAATAGAAAATTAGATCAAAGTCACACATGACTACACTGCTTAAAAAGAAAACAAATGACCATACTTTTGCACTTTTTTTCACTAAAATGCTAAACGATCTTCCTCCCACCATCAACTAGAACAAATGTATATTACTTTCTGATGCAATGTACATTTTGAGTAGAAAGGGGTTAAACTACAGAGCACTAATAGCAGAGAAATGTTTCAAGTTTGACTCAAAAGGTTTCAGCTCTCTAAGAAAAAAAGGACAGAAGCTCCCTTTTACTAACCTCTTCTAAAAAATGAGCCTGACAACTTTTCAAAAGTCACTGAGAATGTCAAGAACAATCCTGAGTTCTTACTGCCTCCTCACAAGCTGGAATTTATCTACCCAAAATGAAAAAGAAAAGAAGCATACCATTTGCACGAACAAGACCAGATTTGCCTGAAGTGAAATGGCCTGGAGAAACAATGTCAGCTTATTTCAGTTTAAATCTAATTGTATTTTAGATAATTATACCTGGGGTGGGTTGGGGGGGAGGAGGCCGAGAGAGAGCTGCAGGGAGGGGGTTAGAGACAAACAAAGTTTCCAAACCAACCTTTTCAGCTTTGTTATATAAAGACTTAATTATATCTGAGCAATTACCACTGATAAAAACTTCAGGAAGATGTGACTAAAAAGAGGGTTTATGTCTTACAGAGAAGGCATTTAAAAACCAAGGTTTTGTATAGACCGGAGCCTAAAGGCCACTCGTCTTGGCAAAAATAGTGATCCATGGCTATGTTTTGAAACACAGTTCTTATCAAGACTTTCAAGGTATTTTATTATTGCACTCTAATGGCATACACACATTATATTTATATTTTTTAATGCATTGGAATTATGCTAATCACTCCTTTGAAGCCATCTTTATTTCTTGAGAAATATTTGCCTATAACCATAGTCACCTGTAACCTCTATTTGAAAAAATGCACCATCCACCCAGATTTCAGCATCATCAGAAAACTAAGCTAAGAGGAGCAGAAGGCTAGGAGACAGCTTTTAATGGGTCACACCTGACCAAAATGGGGTAGGCAGAAAGGCAGAATGGAAAGAAAATTAGGCTGAAAGTCAGGACTTGTTTTCTACTTTGTCATCAGCCGGCTTGGGCAAGTTACTTCTCTTTGTGTTTTAAGCAAGGGGGTAAAGCTAGTTATTCCACTTACCTCCATAGGGTTGTTTGAAGGTCAAATGAGATAATAGACCTACAAAAGCCGTGAGATGCATGAATCACAGCATTCAGCAGGCTGTCAGAATACCCTGAATATTACAGTACACAGATGAGTGAATATAAGAGTCAAAGGAAGAGAAGTGATGACCACTCAGTTGTTGGGCCTGGGTGAATAGAAGGAAAAAGAAGGAAGTTCAATGTGAGGTAGTGGGGTGAGGGTAAGGGGGAGAGAAAGGGCTTTTTTTTGGTGGGAAAGATGATGTTTTGTGTTTAAGGCAAGAATGAGATAACTAAGTAGAAATGTCCTGCAGGCAAGAAGCTGGAGATGAAAAGAAAGGGGTGGACTAGGGTTAAAATAAGGAAAATCTCCAGAGAATTTGTCGAGAGGAAAAAAAAGGCAACTTGCCTGAGCCAGTTAATGGGGGGTGGAGGGGATGTGAGGGGAGAGGGCGTAGAAGAAAGTAAAGATGATTTACTTGGAGAGAAAAAATATATTAACAGAGTGAATGATGCTCTTTTCTCTACGGGAGGAAAGAAAGAACTATTAAGTGATTCAGAGAGGTCCATGAGGATCAGAACCAAGAAGATTAATAGCTTTAAAGAGTGGGAGGATATTGTTGTCTTTGAAAATAAAGTTGCAATGCAGTAGTAGAGAGGGAAGCCAGAATTCATGTGCTTTGAAGTAGAAAGATAGCAGAGAGAGTGGGCTACAGAAATAAGTTTATCAGTTTAGAAATGAGAAAATTAGGAAACAGAAACAGCAGAGAGGAATGAAGGTAGAGGAGAAAATGGGGAGAAGAGAGAGTGATAGCTTGAAGTAGACCATTGGTTATCATTGTACCCACGGTGAGAAGTGATAGCACCACTCCATATGAATACCAAATACGGTAAGACTGCACCTCTTATTTTACCTTGGGTGAAGCCAGTAAATGTCAAGTATCCACATGTAGCAAAGAGAATACTGATAAAGACAGAAACCAAGGTGGACACATGGATGATGCAGGACCACTTAGCTACTGTGCGTTCTTCCAAAGAACCATAAACTAAGAAGCAGTTATGGTGACAAATAAATGCTAGGGAACAAAAAAGAAAAAAAAAAGCATTATTAAAGCAAGCACTAGTGTTCTCTTTTTACTTCTGAAAATTCAGAGATGTATGCTACTTTGGAATGCTAATAAATCGAAGTTCGAATATACTAATTTACTAGATATTTCATAAAATTATTTTTTTAACAGCTTTGGGGATGAGAAATTTCATTCACGTTAGGCTTGTGCAGTCTCTTCGTGTCATTCAATTTTCTCTCCCATTTTCCATTTCCCAATGGCCTTTCCAATCTTAAAGGAAGTCTAAAGAACACTGTATTTTCAGTCCAAGGCTTCCTTTCCAATCTGGAATACAATGGATTAGCTTGAGACTTCTGGCCAATTTGTAATAATTTGTGTACAAGGTTTTGAAGAAGTCCATAACATTTGCTAGATTTTCAAGTTAAGAAACAAAATGTCTCTAATGAGTTTTCTGCATGAGAAAGACACTTGTCCAAATTGAAGTAAATTTTAGTGATGAGTGAGAAAAGTTTATGCCTAAATTTACAGTGGCACAAACTAGATCATATGCTGCTAATAAGATGTGTAAAACTTAGGATATCTGTTCTTCAGATATAACTATGAAATATAGCACCTTTTCATTGTATAAAAGACTCCATATTGAGAAAGGGCCTTTGAAACCATACACTCACCAAATGACATAACACCAACAGCCTGAATTGCATTGGGTTTTGCAAATACCCAGGCATCATCTGTTTTTGGTCTAAAAGAGAAATTAGTTAATTTGATGAATGATAAAGCATACAAGAATAAGCAAATCAGAGAACAAGAAATGCTGTCACAATATAAATCGAATCTCTTTAAGTCAGAAATTAATAAGGGACCTCCATTAATCTTATTTAACTGTAAATAAATTTCCCAGGAATATCAATGTTATCTATTAACCCCAGTCCTATAGTATGTCAAATACATAGGAAGACTATATTTTTACATATTTAAAATATCCATTGACTACTTAGTTTCATGACTTTATTTATTCATCAATTTAACAACAAACATTTGTTATATACTCATCATTTGAGATACTCATTGAGGGAGACAGAAAAATTAATAAGGCAGTATTCTTCCTCAGTTAATTAATACTGACCTATATTTTCTTCTCACTCATTCTTCTAGGCTCATCCTACCCAAGGGAAATTCATAGTTGGCACTACAGTATATTGAGAAAGGTGGAATTGAACTAATATTGATCGATATACTTAGCTATATTCTGTGAACTATCCTATTTTATTTCCATCTTCACAGTAACACTTATGTGTTATTATCACCATTTAATATATTAGGAGAGTTAAGTTCTGGGTGGTGACATAACTTGTCAAGCTTCTTCAAATGGTAAGTGAAATTGTTGTCTGTTTGGTCTGTCCATCCCAAAATCTCTTCCATACTGAACACTCAGTGGCCTCAAACTCGCACCTGTGCACATACTTCTCACAGAGGTTTTGGAAACATATATACTTTAAATAGCTTGAAGAAGCCGATTTCTTAATGGAATTAAAATATTTGCCAGCCTGACTAGTGTTAGGGATTGGTTTTCCTGATAAACACATCCCTGAGTAATGGTGAAGAGCACAGGCAGCTCTTTAGTCAGATAGCCTGTGTTGATCTTCTGGCCTCTTCCATTTATTAGCTGTGTGATCTTAGGTTATTTACTTAACGTTTCTGTGCTTCAATTTTGATATCTATAAAATAAGGATAATAGTACCTAATTTGTTGAGTTATTATGTGAATTAAATAATGTAAAACTTCTGAAAGAGAGCTTAGCATATATTAAGTGTTCGATAGATGGTCACTCATATTATCAGCTTACATATTAGTATTGTTATTTCCCACTGTCATTTAATAAAATGTAGCAAAAAGTCGAAAAGTATTGCCAGCTTCCTTGAAAAAGCTTTAGCAAGACCCAAAGAATGAATGAAATTAGAAGAGGTGGACAGGGAAGAAAAGTCCTAGGAAAGCATAAAGGCACTAAATGTAAACCCTTCCATTTTATGTTTGTTATTAATTCTCCATATAGTAGACACAAAGAAGTCCCATTCGTTTTATCAAAGTTAGTGGGATTTATGCATTATATCATTTACTTTCACATTTGAAATGAGCAGTTACAGACACAAAGGAACTAGCTAACCTACAAGGGAGGCCTCTGGCTCTTAGAAGGCTTGCTCCGCTTCTCTTAGTTTTTGGAGTGGGAGTTGCTGCCACCTGCTGCCTCCACTACTCTTATTGCAATGAACATTAACCTCTAGCAGCCTACCTGTCAAAATCCAATGTTAATGTGAAAAAAATACATATTTTGTTTATGGTCCTTAAAAAAAGATTTTGAAAAGGTAGTACTAACAATTGTAGAAACTTGAACTTTTTAAATTTTCTATGTTTTAAAAGATCTACTTTCCCTGTTAAGGTATTTGCATGGAACGAAACTCATTTTTCCCTTTGGTACAGATTGTAGTAGTGTCCTACTCTTTAGCTCTTATATTAGTAATAAAAAGGTAAGGGTTTGATTTTCATTTGTCTTCTTCTTTTAAGTTAAAAATTTTTTTCCTGGTGCATGTGGCTCCTTGCATATATTCCTAGCTAAGATAGAGTGTGAAACAGCACCCAGAGATAATTTTGGATTTTCTATGTTCATCTTAATGATGCTGATTTTATAGGATGCAAACCTAAAGAGATGTTACAGATAAAAAATAATTTGTGTCCAAATTTAGGTAAAGAGAAAGAGACATTGATTATGGCTTTGCAATCTTTTATTAAAAAGCCTGTGACTGAATTTCAGAAACAATCATTCCACAGGAAAAAAAAGAGAGAAAGTCCCTTGATATATTTTATGAGGTTGCTGAAACCTTGATACCCAATGTGAATTACAAAATGAAGTTATACATTGCTCTAACTTTAGGCTATGGACGCTGAAATAGAAAATGAAATATTATCAAAGGCAATCACAACAAAGTATAAGAAAAAAAATCATGACTATGAAGACTATTTTCCAATAAATTCAAGGGTAGGTCAGTAACAGAAGAATCTGTTAATATAATTCATTGCATTAACAGATTAATGGAGAAAAAAAGTTTATGACCATTTCAAAATATGTAGAAAAGCCTACCATCCAGTATTTATTTTGATAAACATGCTAAACAAGCTATTAATAAAATAGAACTTCCTTAACCTGATAGGAAAATCTACCAAAATCTATAGCAAATGATCTTTTTAGAAGTGAAAGTTAAAAACATGACAATCAAAGGCAGAAATCAGATAAGGATTTTCACTATCACTGCTTCCAGAATACATTATTGGAATTTCTAGCTAATGCAATAAAGTAAGAAGTGATAAGATATAATAATTGGAAAGTAATAAATCAATCGTACACAACGGAATTGTGTACACAGAAAAATCATGAGTATCTATTGACAAGTTACTGGGAGTATTTAGAGAGGTTACTGGATACAAGCTCAATACACAAAAAATAATAGGGTTGATGTACACAAATAACCAATAAAAATCTTTTTTAAATGACAGCAATAACAAAAATACTAAATATTTTAAAGATATGCATAATCTCAATGGCATAATATAATTTTATTGAAAGGCACAAACAATTGGAGAAATATAATATCCATACATATGAATGAGAAGACTCAATGTCAATTCTCCCCAATTTAATATTTTAAATCAAAGAATAAAATATGATGAAGGTGGAAATAATTTTTTTAAAAACCATAAAAGTAAAGATTGATATACATAATAAAATCAATGAAAGGTAAATCTAAAATGTCTGTATAAAAAACTTAATAATAAAGATAAGCTAAAAAGTAGGAGATGAGATTTGTCGTGCATATAACCAAAAAAGCAATATTATCCAGTATACTAAACACTCTTGCATATCAATAAGAAAAAGATATTCCAGTGAACAATGGACAGCAATCAATTTATAGGAAAAAAATGAGAATGTCCAATAAATAAGCTACAGGTTTTCACTCTCCTTAATAAGAGAAATCTAAATGAACTCCATTAAAAAAGAGCATTTTACACTTAATTCAACAATAGTGATGTTGATAAATTACTGAGAAAGGACAACTTGCAATTACTATGGAGGGAACTATAGATTGTTAAATGCTTTGGAGAAGAATTGGGCAAAGTTTGGTAAAGCTGAAGTTAATCAAAGCTTGTAAGCAAACAATTACATTTTTAGATATATACCCTAGGTCAGGGAAGTGCATATGTGAACAAAAATACATGGATAAGGATGTTCACTGCTGTATTGTTTTCATTAGCCAAACTTTGGAAATAACCTCAACATCCAGCAATACAATTGATAAATAAGTCCATATGTAAAATGTGACATAATCATAAATTTGTGTGCTGCAGAGCAATTAAAAAGTCACCCAGTGCTAACCGTATCTAAATGGAAACATACAGAATGCAATATTGAGGGAAAAAAGTGATTATGTATATTCTACAAACATACTATTTAATACTATATATTGCTGTCAATGCATAATGCATAGTTTAAATATAAAAGCATAAACAAGAATGATTTAAACCAACTTAAACATAATAGTTATCTCTGAGAGAAAAGAAATGAATCCAATTTTAGAATA